CCTAACTTTCTTCTCTCTTATGTCATTTCTGCTTTCCTTTCTTATTTTCTTGCCAAACCTTGGGGTCCTGCAGTACCTTCCTCGACTCCGTCCTCCTTTCTTTCCTTCCTTGTGACCTGTTTCACTTCCTTCCTTCCTTGTCCCTACCTTCTTCCATTCCTTGTCTTCCCCTCCTTCTTCGTTTCTGTTTCATCATTATGTCATCGACATTGTAGAGGAACCATGGCATCCAAATAAACATGGCATAATAATGCTGCCTTGTCTTTCTTTGCTTTCCAAGGTAAATATTTTTATTGTCCTATTTAGTTTAGTCCTGTTTAATTTTATAGTGATTCACAAGGTAAATAAATCATGACATTTAATCTCATAAAACATTAAATTCTACATTAAGGGAAGTACCATGCACAGTTCTTTAATCTCCCGGGGGAATGTGATTCTTGTGGATCATCCTTTTTAAATGCACCTCAGCTTGTACAAGATGGTGTGCCTTTTGTACAAGTTAGGATTTTCTGCACCCTCCCCTTCTTTCACATATTTTCGTCTGTCAGCATTTAAATCGGATCCGTTGAACTCTATAAGCTGCTTAAAACAGCGAAAGAATTTCTCAGCACTTCGGCTTGATAAACACAACGGGGAGAGAAGTGGATTAAGCTTTCTGTGGATTTAAGGAGGTATTTGAATTTTTCAGCCTTTTTGAAAAAATGCCATCACAGCCTCAACAGGAGTGATGACTTTAAAAAGAAGAAGAAAAATGTCACAGTATTTATTAGCTGATTAGGGGTTGACTGATTAATCAGATTGAGGCCAAATTCCTCCAGTCTAGGAGCTAAACTTCAAACTGAGGTGAAATAAAAGAAAGCGGTATGTGGCAGATTTTGTTTTGTTTTTTTTTTTTACCAATATTGCGATTGAGATTTAATTGCAATTTTCCTTTGCACTAAGCACACGCATGTTGATGTTTTACAAAAGGGTTTCAGTGTTTTCATGACCTTGAAAGCCTGCTTGCCCAGAATCCAGTATTGTACGAGTTTAATGTAACATATGCATGAAAAAGTTCTTACTTAGTTCTAGTTCTAGCATAGTTCTAGGTGCTAGCTGCAACTCTCCGTTCCCTTCTTTGTGACAGCATGCCCACTTTAATTATATTTTGGAGTTGGACAAGGGAATCTTTGGAGAGAGCTATAGATTAGAGTGATGCTAAAGGGGCCTTTAAACTAACAAAAGACAAATAGCCCATTGAAAAAAATGTTTATAGAAATGGTGGAAACATAAATGACACTGATTACTACTTGTAAGGAAGATTTGGTTGCTATAATTCCAACAAAGGTTTGTTTTCCTTGTGATTTTTAAAGGATGTAAGTAAAAAGTCTTTGAATGTTGCCATTTTCAAATATATACTTTTTGAACAGAATAAAATGGACTGTATTGCTGATGGAAAATGGTTTTAAATTTAAATATGCCAGCTGTATGAATGATATTTTGGCCTGATTGAATATGACTATGGAAGACGGTTATCACATGTTTTTATTATCCTTAAGGGTATAGAAGACGATCTTTTATTTCCGGGTGGATCATCTAAATAAGTGGTCCTCCTTATTGTCCATCATTCTGGTGATATGTTTACGTAATGTTGTCCTACATGCTCGACCTGTTAGCTATATTTTTCTGCGCATGCCTACTTTCAGGAGTATATCTGTAGGGAGCTTCGGTTTCAGACAGTCATTGAAGCTCGCCTTTCTCACCGCGGTTCTTTGAAAATGGCCGAAGGTCGTAAAAGAAAAAGTGTCTAAAAGAGGCAGATATATCCCAGAATGCTTTGCGCACAGAGGTCTCCTTACAAAGCATTATGGGATTCGCTGTCACTGCTGGCCACTGTCGAGTAGCGGCAGTGGCGACTAATAACAAAGATTGCGCAGGCACTGCGCAGTAGAAGCGGAGTTATGTGACCAACAAAGGAAAAAACAGTGATCATCTGTCCAAACGGTAAATTAACTGAGTTCGCTATAAAGTCCACTATATAGTCCCTGCTCTATATAGTGATTGAGGCATTTAGGGGTTAGGGCGGATGCTCAGACACAGTAAGTTTGTATGAGTTATGAGAAAAGCAACCTTTAAACAGAGCGTGCACGAGGACTCAATCATGCTCTCGCACGCATGTTTTTTTTAACTGGAGAGGGCGGGTCCTTTAAAAAAAATGCTAAAGTTCTCCATGTTATGTGCTTCGGGCACATTATGATTTTTGTCTATTTCTTTTCTTTGTTTTCTTACAGACTTTAGTTGAAGGATCTTTTGTTAATATATTTTGGGAGTTGAATAATTCTTTTGGCCAGTTAATTATGTTAATTTGTGGTGCTGTTGTCCGCCTATAAATAGGCTGGCTTTCAGCATGTTGGGGCGTTCCTTTCCATCTTTGCCTGGACGCCGCTTTTCCACCTGCTTCCACTTGTTCCACCGTGCGCGGTGCGCACTTGTCTTGTCGCTGCGGCCTGCAGCGGACGTTCCAGCCTGCCATGCGGTATTTTTGTTAGCCGTTGCTTACTTTTTTCTTGTGGTTTTTGGCCTGGCGGGACCGGTTGTCCTATTTTCGATTTTTCTTTTGCTTAGGTTATTTTTGGCTTTTAGTCCGGTA